AACCTGTTCTCAACAGAAAGAAAGAAGAAAGAAAGAAAGAAAGAAAGAAAGAAAGAAAGAAAGAAAGAAAATTTGAATAGATCTATAATAAAAAAAAAAAAAAAAAAAAAGCAGATCTCTACAGGCAAGCCATGATTGAATCAGGCGTGCCTTCAGTAATTCAGTCATTCAACAGATGTTTGAGTGGCAGCCCCTATAGGCCTTAGCAAGTCAGGCATTAAGCTCCCTGGGGCCTTTGTTCCCTCTGAGGTTGCTAAAAGCACAGCAGATGCTGGAGGGCTTTGCTGGAGGGTGCTAACTCGGGGACACTGGAGAGGCCCGGAGGTTGCATTTTCACGTGTACCCTGGGCACATCTGCAAATCCCCGAGGAACGAGGAACGGGGCTTAAAAAGACACTGTTCTGCTCCAGGCAGCCTTGGGGACAGGGACAAATCAGATCCTGTCATGCCACCCCCTCCTGGTTAGAGCCTGGGGTCATGGTGGGGCAGCTGTGGAGCAGCCTCACCTCCTCTGCTGTTCCAGTGGGGCGAACCGCAGGGTCAGGACCAGGCTGGCCATGAAAGGCACCTGCCCATCACCCCTTACCTTTCTCCCTGCTCACAGGAACCTTCCCTGGTAGGCTCTCAGTCCCCACAGTGCAGATGGGGCTGTGCGCTCTCACTCTTGACTTGGGGTGGGCCAGGACAGAGGTTAGGGGCCACTCAGCGATTGGTTCAGGGGTGGGAGCTTACCCAAGTGCTTGCATTGGGAACCCCCGCTTGGACATGGGACTGAACACTCCAGAAAGAGAGGCTCCCCCTCTGCTAGTATTAATTCACGTTGGGGGATGCCAAAAATGAAGTTTACCCAGAGGAGAGGACAGAAGTGTCATCCAAAAAACATGTTTGGAGCACCTGGTTCCAGCCATACCTGAAAGCCCCACTTCTGCCTCTGGATCTTTCCATTCTAGGGCCAGTACCTTCCCTTTCTGTTGGGCTTTAAACCAGTTTGCAATTGAGAGAATCTAGTATACACTGGGCATGAGGTACATGCCTGTAACCCCAACTACTCAGGGGGCTGAGGATCACAAGGTTGAGGCCAGCCTGGGTGACTAAGGGAGACCCTGTCTCAAAATAAAACTTTTTGAGAGGCCAGGATCTCTTTTCCATCTTGTAAGATGGTAGGCGAAAAAACTGAGAAGCCAGACACTAAAGAGAAGAAACCTGAAGCCCAGAAGGCTTCTGCCAGTGGCACTGGTAAAAAGG